AACAAAAAAGGGCAATAATTAAACAAGACTGTTTTGCAATGACGTTTTCCATCTAAAGAAACTGCACCCTGAACTTGTTTTATCACAGGAAGTATTCATTAAGCCCAGCAAGTATATGTGGTTTCATGGAAATGTTATGTGCATGAGTGTGTACATTTTATTGCATGTCTTTATCTGTCTCTATGTGAGTGTATTGATGACTTGTGTTGTGTTTAATGGCGCAGGGTTGCCTGACAGTAGAGTTGGAGAGGGGTCCCAGGGGCTTTGGCTTTAGCCTGCGGGGGGGAACAGAGTACAACATGGGCCTGTACATCCTGAGACTGGCTGAGGACGGAGCTGCTCAGCTAGATGGAAGGATCCATGTGAGTGCTTCCTATATAATATAATAAATATATTTCCTTTATAATAATTCCTTATATCAACTCTGACCTATAAGGACTGGAATTGGTTTGTACTGCTGGAACAACCTGGAAGAATAATCATGCTGAGGGAGTTTAACGTTTCTATAGGATATCTATGAATGTTTTATTTCTTTATCTGGATATCATTTTTTCCAGTTAACCAATGACTCTACATATACTCAGTGTTGGGTGGAAAACACAACATATTGCTAATTACGCTATTCTTAGACTCTTCACAGTGGAGGGGCTGACAGCATACGGAGTCCCCTCAGGGATGAGCTACAAGAAAGGCCATGGGGTCATTCTTTTCTCGCTCATTATCTCTGAGAGTTAATGAATCTGCTTGGAGTATTTCATTGAAATTCACATATCAGATTATGAGATATCTTGTGTGCATAGTTGAGCAACGGAAAGCACATAAAATGTTCTAAAATTAAAGGTCAGACGGTCATGAAACTATTAAGATTCATTCTTTCTGGACAATGAATATTAATGTTAAGATGTCTTGCTGTGGGACAAAGTGTATGGCAGGCAGACTGAATGATCGACAGACAGGTATCACCATCCACAGAGACTTTATTAACAAGAAGCAAAAGAAACTGACTAAATCAAAGTGAATGCGTTCCTTGGGAGCTCATTTTGCTACATTTCATATTGTTATACAGTTTGCTAAGCTATTATACTGAGCGTTACATGGCTGAAATCTAATGTTGCACATGTACTCGTTTATGAAGGAGAGCAGTAAAACAAATATTAGTTCTGTTGCAGTGTGTTGAATGCACCAGGGATAAAACTAATGAATAGAGTTACAACAACTGCCAGTTACAGTGTTCAGGATATAATGTTGTGGTGCTTTCAGCTAAGATGTGTTTACACTAGTTTTTGCTTTCATTTAGCAAAGTAATTCAAGATCTCCAAGCTGCACAATAAGAGAGAGAGTGTGGAGATGGTCTTTAGGCCTCTATTTTAAGATTTGATTGGATCCTTTTCTTGCTTATTATAATAGATTTCTATCTCGTATTTTTTTCAAGCTAGTGTTTCCTTGAGTGCGTCTGTGTGTATTTCTCACTGAGGCAACGTATGATCATATGGGTAATGTGATATCTCACGGGAAGTTATTCTACATTTTGTGTGTGTTTACCTACGAATGTCTAGAAACATGTCAATCTGCGCTCTGGTTACAATAAGGGAAAACAAAAATGCTGGCTATGTTTAGGTTAAGAATGTGGCTTGTGACTAAATCACAAAAAAATAAATCTGATTACTGTTACATTTCAAAAACATTGGGATAACTAACAGGATTACAATGTCAAAATGCATTTTGAAATACCGATCAATATATTACTGGTAGATGTAATGCCTAAAATGTTCTTTAGGTTTTCATTTAGACTACTTTCACTCTTTTTTTATTTTAAATATATTTTAATGCAGTAAGTGGACAGTAAGATGACACATTTTTTCTCTTGCATTTATTTGCATTGTATTTGATATTGAGGTAATCTAAAAGTAACAGAAAGTAATCAGGTAACATTACTTTAATTTTTTTTTTTAAACTAGTAATTGTAACTGAATTAACTTTTAAAGGAACCCTCTCAACCCTGAAGACACAAATAAGTCATCTTTACTTTAACCTACGTCCTACTATTGTACTTCCTCGGTCTCACATACTACAATACATTCAAGATATATGTTCTGGGATATACACAGTGCATTAGTTTCTCATGGTTTATCTATGAACAGTGTATGAGAGAGCCTGATGTATGACGCTGTCCATTTCCAGGAAAGTTCACACTGAGGGACCCTGTACTTTTTTCTGTCTGAAAGAGGTTCAGCTAAATACAAATTCCCCCATGGCCATGAAGTAATCCCTCTGTTATTGTCAGGATGAGAGGGGAGACGGTGCAGTGAGGGAACAGTTGAGAAGCTGCTGGCTGAAATCCATCTCAGGCTTGCCAAGCTGTGATCTGTGCATAACTCTGCCTAGCCAAGGGTGGAGACAAATGTCAACACCCATTAGATCCTAACAGGATAACATGTTTACACTGTTTATCACGAGGTATTTTGTCTCCAATAATAGGCGATACCTCCGGGGTATTACAAGGCTGTGTGTGCAATTTAGATACTTACATATGTAGCGTGTTTGTGAAGGCATACCTCTTCTGTTTGTTTGAGTGAAAGTGGGAATGTATGCACAGCGGAGTAAACTAGGTTTCGATCAGATTTGTTTCTGTTTGGTAATTGCCTGTTCTGTTTTTACTGACAGGTTGGAGATGAGATAGTGGAGATTAACGGGGAGCCGGCACGCGGCATCTCTCACACCCGGGCTATCGAGCTGATCCAGGCTGGAGGAAGCAAAGTGGTGCTGCTGCTGAGACCAGGGGCGGGCCTGGCTCAGGACGGCAGTAAGTACACACACCATTAAATCAATGATGGTTATAGCATACAGAACAGAGACCAATTCACTTGGAGTTTACAAGTCAATACAGACTGCTCTCGGGCCTAGAAAGCTATTGCTAGTTTGTCTTTTTGGCAGAGTGAAGGATAGTAGGGGAACTTTAGTACTTAGTTGACCTAATTGCATTTACATATTTCATTTATATCTGGCATAAAATCCTTTATTTTCTCCAAGAGGTATTGTTGTTTTTTCTTTACAAACTCCTTAAAGGCATAGCTTGGGAAATAGGTTTATTTACTTTTTACAGAGAGCTATAAAGGACCTTGATATCATTGTCCTGTCTGTCTGTCAAAGTTAAAGGGGCCATATTATGCTTTTTTGGGTTTTCCCTTTCCTGTAGTGTGATATATATGTTTTTCTCCATGTAAATGCTCTCCAGAGGGAGTTTTTCTCCCACACAGTTAAGGCACAAAATACAAATATGAAACAAAAAATGAGCATAATAGGGCCCCTTTAAGATGAGAGCAAGTTGTCTATTAGCATAAAAACTAGCTTGCCTGGTTCCGTCCAAATGTAGAATGTTGCACGTTAGATTAACGCAATTAAATTATGTTAACAACTAGATTGGATGTATCTACTAAATGTGTTTACGGGGAAGGACACAGTCGTTAAATACATGCTGAATACATAAATACTCCTGACGTTTAGCTAATAGCTAATGATAATGACTCCATCCTTTTGTTTGTTTCCCGAGCCTATTTTGGAACTCTGCCCGTATCGACTTAAATGTACTTTCTTTATTGACTTTTTTATTTATGCGTTGAATCTCTAACCATTTGTTTTCTTTTGGCTCTTCTTCTCTTGCCCCTGATGCAGGTAGTACAGCTTCTTCTACTCTGTGCTACTACACTGAGCACCAACACTAACATCTTCACTGCTTTTACTGGCTGCTTCTCTTTTACCTTGGTAATTCTTGTCTCTTTTCCTTCTGTTAACCTTTCTTGCTACATTTCTTTTTTTGTGTGTGTATTCAAATTATTGTATGCCCTTAATGAGTCTTAATGTAAAATGTGTGCTTTTTTTCTCAGGTCAACATGATCAAAAAGTCATTTCACCTGCAAGCTCACCCGGAGAGGTCTTTTTATCAGACACGTCACCCCTCTCCTTTCCATATCTCACCGGGGCTTCCAACTTTGTTTCCCCTCCCTTCTCCAGCAATCTGAAACATTCGCACAGCTGGAGCAGCATCTCCCCCCAAGGACACAAGCCCCGCAGCAGGGGTTTGGACTCAGTGAAGGAGAGTGGTGAGAGGTTAGAGAAAGAGGCAGACAGGCTCTCTCCCGCCTCCCCTGAGCATATTAACTTCTACAGAAGGACCAGGCCCCCTAAGGACCCCAGAGAGCTAAGCAGCCCAAAGAACACAGGGGAGACATTTCCTAAAGCCAAAGAGCAGCATTACGGTCCCAAAAAGACTGAGAGTCAGCCGAAGGAAGGAGCGCTGACTAGGAAAAGGATGTCTCAGACAAAAACACGATCCACAAGCCCTAGAAAGTCTCCTCCAGCTGCACAGCAAGCAACTTCAACAGTGCAGCGTGCGGAACATCCACAAGGCGCACAGAGAAGATTAAAAAGCTCCTCCAGCAGAGAGGGCTTGGATCATGAAAAGAGAAATGGCAAAGGGGGGACCATTGAGACCAGAAAATACTCACAAAGACGAGAGATGGAAGGGAGAGGAGAAAGGATCGAGCCTGGCCATGAGCAAGAAAGTTTCATAAGAAGAGTGGGGGGAGAGTTTCAGCACCGCAGGACGTCTCATAAAGTCAGAGAAGGCGAGAAAGGTACATCTAAAGACTCAGGGCAGAGAGATGCTAATGAGAAATCCATGGAAGACAAGAATTCAAGTAAAGGAACCGTCAACAAAAGAGAATCACTGCTGCATTTTAAAGATTTGTGGAGTAGAAAAGGGTCCGTGGTCTCACCAAGAGAGGCAAAAGGAAGAGAAGACACATTCGCTCACTCCAAAGAAGTCAGCAGTAGGGAAGACTTTGTGGCCTCTATAAACAGTTCTCCAGGGACCCCGCAGAGCCCAAAGGGACCCATTATCCCCGGCCCTTGGAAAGTGCCCAGCTCAGCCAGAATCCTCACCGAAGCAGAGGTCCTTCAAGACCCTTTGTGATAAATATTGAATCACCCAGACTTGAGAATATTTAACAGTACCCTCAGCGGGTTGTTTTTCTGAGTTCTTCCATAAAACAGGGCAACATGGTGCCACTTTTATTACCTGCTGGTCCATGTTCCAGATGTTCTCTTTGGACTCTGTGACATAACGTGTTGGCATGTAGCAACTCCCCCTCTGCCTTGTCCGCTGCTTTAGCATCTTTGATGTGAGACTTAAGCATGTGCGGCATGCTCGGGGCCTCACCAGACACGACATTTTTAAATGTGAATATGTGCCAATCCTGGGAGCCTCCTGTGGAACCATGACTACCAACAGCGCTTCACCCATTACAATGCAATGACCCATATGCAAAGAAAAGGAGATAGGCCCTAGCCTCTCGTCTGTAGTATACACCAAGTGTGACTGTCACCTCGGGTTTCATTTAGCTCTCGGCCTCATAGCGGGATATTTTGACTGTCTTTTTCTTAAACGTTTGCTCAATTGCATGCAGTCGGTCCTTCTGTTTGTTTTACTGCACGTGTTCTGCACATCACTGAGGATGATTTTCTTGTTTATAGTTCTCATTTACCACGCCAGGCACATTTCGAATACAATCCAGCAAGCATACACTTTACCGGGGACTCAAGACTGTTCTACGATTGCAGACGTGACTCTCCTCCTTACGAACAGTATCATTAAAAAGACCAGAAACTTGTGGTTTGAGATCTTGTTTACCATTTGTATGATAAGCAACCAGTGTGTAATTTATTGAGATGATAGAATAATATGTGTATATGTAGCTGTAACCAAGCCATTCCACATTTTTGATATAGAATCCAGAGATTTGTCCCATGTTATTTGAGCTTTCACCTCCGATGTATTTCAGTGCTAGGAATTACCATGGATCTCGTAGTTCATGAAATGTATAGGTAACGCGCAAACCGCTGTACCAAATGTTCGCAATCGCTCAAACGTGTCTCATTGTGAAATATTATATCTACATATATATTTGAATGTGTCATGTTTTGCAGATTCTAACTTAAATATATATTGAATTCCATTGCACTGCATCTGCCCTTGTAGCATATCAGAATGACCATGAGTTGTATCTAATCTGTGTTGTTGACTTGCGACCAATGCCATTTTATTCTTATCGGTAATATGTTTATTATTTTATAAAGCTATTTCATTTTTTTTAAAGACTCTCTCTTTAAGGCCAAAATGTCAATTTATATTATAATGTGCAAGAGTCCCTAATGGTTTAACCATTGCCCACTGAGAAAAGAAAAATGAGGGTTTTTAATGTATGTATTTGTCTGCTGTATAATTATCTGACAGGGAGGCTTGAAGGAAAATGGAGCTTAGAGGGTAATGTGTTGGCTTACTGAGATGCTGCTGATGTAAAACTGGCATACAAAGATCACCACTTCCTATGTTTTTGAGTGGTTGTTGAGCTGAAGAGATAAACAATTGGTTCCAACATGGGGTCAATGAAAATGAGAAATAATCGGATTACACTGTAAAGTCAGTCAGAGGAAAGGAAATATACTCTCAGCACAACTGCTTATAAGATAAAGACATATTAGGACGAGCTCAGGGAACACAGAAAAGTAGCAAACGTGTGATAAAGTCAATGTTGGTGAAATGGTGGTTAAGCTTTGTGCGTGACTGTGATAAGAGCCTGTGATTGTATAAGAGAGTTAGCTGTCAGGTTTAAAATGAGGACACATATGAGCCAGTGGTAAATTGTGTGCAATAGTAATAGTGGTTGGTTGAAATCCAACTAAGGGTTAGGTACAGGCAGGTCACTGGTTAGTCAGATAATGCCCTTTTTATGATATGTCCCCTGCACTGTTCTCCTAGCTGCTTTGGTTTTCTTTATTTCATCTCTGTATCATACTGTGGCCTTGCATCGCTTCATTAGAAAAACAATCCTTGTGGTATCTTCTACATTCTGTAGGAACAGTAGATGTAAATGTTTGTACATTGTACAGCACCTTTATAAATACTTGCTGAGTGCTCTTTCAAGGGGGAAAAAAATAGAGGTATATTAAATCGCTCCATTATTTTTTTATGTATAAAAAAAAAAAGAGAACATATTTAAAAAATAATTGAAAAGGATAGACTATGACCTTGACATGGTGTTCCGTTCATGCACTGAAAAATAAAGTTTTACTGAAAACACCTTCTGGATCTCTTGTACTGAAATTAATCAATTCATTCAAACCGTTTTATTCTATTTCTGTCATAATTGTACACATTAAGATTAAACAGCTTCTTATGCACTAAATACAACACCGCCTTTTATATGAAAAAGTAGCCAGAGCTCCTGTTTCTATGGCAGATTTCCAGTTGTCATGGTAGCCGACTGCTCTTCTCGACAGAGAAAGCTCCACTGCACGAAGATGCTTTTTCCATTACAAGAGAAAGCTAAGACTCATCATATGCCACGTATGCGTCGTGTCCATTAAATATCAGTATTTCAAACGCACGCTGGAATAATAGGGCCCTATTTGAAATGAGAAGAGCAAAGAAGGCAGAACACATTAATGAAAGACACATACTGAATTAGAAACAACTGGTGTAACTGCAAACCATTAAAGGGGCCCTATAGTGCTCATTTTCAGGTTTCAATTGTATTTTGCTCATAGTGCCTCTGCTGCAGCACCTCTTTTTGAGATGTAAGTGTTTGCAGATCATTTACATGCACAAAAACCTATGTAACGCACTACAGGAAATAGAAAACCAAAAAAAACTTAAAGGGCCTCTTTCATTTATAAGTAGTTAATCAAAGACTACATAATGAGATTGCTAAGGTTAGCTCATAATTTGATTAATTTAAATTAAGACTGAATCATTTCCTTTGAAACTATAAACCTTAACATCAAAGATAGATTTATGATAGGTATGATAGATTTATATCTTCTGCAGTGCATTCCATCTAATTCATGCTGCAATTGCACGTCTCCGCCTCAGGCATCTACAGCAGTCATTTGTTTGAAAATGTTTGTCAATATAGAAAAAACACTTGATCCGTGAATAACTGCCAATAACCCTACCATCAAGTCCTTGACTTTGACCCTGGTGTGAATGAAAGCCACTGAGTCATTCAGAACTCTATACAGCCGTAGTAGAGTAGCCTTAATAGCTACAGACGGAATGGTCTGAATTGCATGTGTTGTTCCATCCATCCATCCATCTTCTCCCGCTTATCCGTGGTCGGGTCGCGGGGGTAGCAGTTCCAGCAGAGAGCCCCAAACTTTCTTTTCCCTGGCGACATCAACCAGCTCTGACTGGGGGATCCCAAGGTGCTCCCAGGCCAGCGAAGAGATATAATCCCTCCACCTGGTCCTAGGTCTACCCCTTGGTCTCTTCCCAGCTGGACGTGCCTGGAACACCTCCCTAGGGAGGCGCCCAGGTGGCATCCTAACTAGGTGCCCGAACCACCTCAACTGGCTCCTTTCGACGCGAAGGAGGAGCGGCTCAACTCCGAGTCCCTCCCTGATGACCGAACTTCTCACCTTATCCCTAAGGGAGACACCAGCCACCCTGCGGAGAAAACCCATCTCGGGCCGCTTGTATCCGCGATCTCGTTCTTTTCGGTCATGACCCATCCTTCATGACCATAGGTGAGGGTAGGAACGAAAATGGCCCGGAAGACCGAGAGCTTTGCCTTCTGGCTCAGCTCCCTTTTCGTCACAACGGTTGCGGTAAAGCGACTGCAGTACCGCTCCCGCTGCTCCGATTCTCCGGCCCATCTCACGCTCCATTGTTCCCTCACTCGAGAACAAGACCCCGAGATACTTGAACTCCTTCACTTGGGGTAAGGACTCATTCCCTACCTGGAGTGGACAGTCCATCGGTTTCCTGCTGAGCACCATGGCCTCAGATTTGGAGGTGCTGATCCTCATCCCAGCCGCTTCACACTCGGTTGCGAACCGATCCAGTGAGTGCTGAAGGTCGCAGACCGATGAAGCCATTAGAACCACATCATCTGCAAAAAGCAGTGGTGCAATCCTTAGTCCACCGAACTGCAGACCCCCTCCCCCACGACTACGCCTCGAAATCCGATCCATGTATATTACAAACAGGATTGGTGACAAAGCGCAGCCCTGGCGGAGGCCAACCCTCACCGGAAATGGGTCCGACTTACTGCCGAGGACCCGGACACAGCTCTCGCTTTGGGAGTACAGAGATTGGATGGCCCTGAGTAGAGACCCCCTCACCCCATACTCCCGCAGCACCTCCCACAGTAACTCCCTGGGAACTCGGTCATACGCCTTCTCCAAGTCTACAAAACACATGTAGACCGGATAAGCGTACTCCCAGGCCCCCTCCAGGATCCTTGCGAGAGTAAAAAGCTGATCCGTCGTTCCACGACCAGGACGGAATCCGCATTGTTCCTCCTCAATCTGAGGTTCGACAATCGGCCTGACCCTCCTTTCGAGTACCTTAGAGTAAACTTTCCCGGGGAGGCTGAGTAGTGTGATGCCTCTGTAATTGGCACACACCCTCTGATCCCCCTTTTTAAATAGGGGAACCACCACCCCGGTCTGCCACTCCTTCGGTACTGCTCAAGGTGCATGTGTTGTTAATTAACTTAAATTGCTTTCAAATGCCTGAAACTGTGCCGAACTGGATTTTTATTCATACTATTTCATAGAGGATGTGGTCAATTGTCTGCAAAGAACCACAAAGAAAACATAGACATTCTAAGTTTTTTCAGATGTACACCCTAGGATGAATATCTAAACATTACGTTTCACTAACCCCAATGTGTTAATGTGTGAAAAAATGACCTTCTGCTGCACAATGTCGAACAAATATGAGATGTATTTGTGTTTTATGCAACCTTTATCTAAAATGGGTAAGCATTTGTTGATATAGATTTAGTATCAATTAGAGGTGGGAATAGGCACACATTCATATTTGCTTACATCCTGAACAACCCACACTTTTTCACCTGTTTCTTGTTTAATAAACAACAAACTAGATTTTTTGTATATTTCAAGCAGTACGTAGTAGTATTACTAATGTCTATGGCTAAAGATAGCCTTGTACACAATTCTGGTTGCAAGGCAAGGCAAGGCAAGGCAAGGCAAGGCAAGTTTATTTATATAGCACTTTTCAACACAAGGCAATTCAAAGTGCTTTACAAAAAATGAAAGAGATTAAGAAAATGGCATTTAAAATCAGTCATTAAAAAGAAAATATAATAAAATAAACATTAAAAGAAAAAAATACATGGCAGTCAATTAAACATTAAAAGAAAAAAAGTACATGGATAAAAGTTACAGTGCAGTCTAAGATATGAATAGTTCAATTAAAAGCAGCGACAAAAAGAAAAGTCTTCAGCCTGGATTTAAAAGTAGTCAGAGTTGCAGCGGACCTGCCGGTTTCTGGGAGTTTGTTCCAGATATTTGGAGCATAATAACTGAACGCTGCTTTACCATGTTTAGTTCTGACTCTGGGGACAGAAAGCTGACCAGTCCCTGAAGACCTGAGAGATCTGGATGGTTCATAATTTAGCAGGAGGTCAGAAATGTATTTTGGGCCTAAACCATTCAGTGCTTTATAAACCAGCAGCAGTATTTTGAAATCTATTCTTTGACACACAGGAAGCCAGTGTAAAGACTTCAGAACAGGAGTGATGTGATCCACTTTCTTAGTGTTAGTGAGGACTCGAGCAGCGGCGTTCTGAATCAGCTGCAGCTTCCTAATAGATTTTTTAGTGAGACCTGTGAAGACACCATTGCAGTAGTCGAGTCTACTGAAGATAAAAGCATGGACAAGTTTTTCCAAATCCTGCTGTGACATTAGTCTTTTAATCCTAGATATATTCTTTAGGTGATAGTAGGCTGATTTAGTAACTGTTTTAATGTGACTGTTGGAACTCAGGTCAGAGTCCATGACTACACCTAGATTTCTGGCTTTATCTGTTGTTTTGAACATTGCACACTGAAGCTCAGCGCTAACTTTGATACGTTCTGCCTTGGCTCCAAAAACCATTACCTCAGTTTTATCTTTGTTTAATTGGAGAAAGTTCTGACACATCCAGTCATTGATTTGTTCAATGCACTTACTCAGTGTTTGAATTGGAGCATAGTCTCCTGGTGAAATTGTTACGTACATTTGTGTGTCATCTGCATAGCTATGGTAACTTATTTTGTTGTTCTTCATTATCTGAGCCAGTTGCATAGAAAAAGGTTGTTTTGCTAGCAGCTACACCATGATTATCCCACTGCTACTTTCATTAGTCAGTGCCTTCCCTCTAACACACCACTAGATGTCACCAACTTACAGTGAGGTGTTGAGTGTACATGGTGAGAGGAGGAACACTTCAATTTAAATATGAATACAATATATTGACTCAGTTTATCATTTTCCTAGCAGTTAGATTTTTTCTAAGAAGATGTTTCTAAAGAGAGTTTAGCATATTGTAACAAATATATCGTAAGAATATGCAGCATTTGAGCTCTTTCTTGTGAAAAATGACATTTATTGCAGCAGGAAACGAGTACTTAAACGTCACAGCTATGTTGTTGTTCATGAAGATTTGTGAGAGGTGAATAATATGGGAAAGAAGTATTTATTTCCCAAAAAGTAAGGTAGCCCTTATTTTTGTAACATCTGTTATATCATAGAGAAGTATATGAAGAAAATAGAAGTATTAGTGGAGCAACAACTTAAGTTACTGATACTCATTACATCAAATTCAGTCTGAAATGGATGACATGGCAGGTGAATTATGCATCATTTGACAGATGTCCAGGTTTGGGTGGGAACCTCATTATCAGATGTGAAGAGAAGCAGATGCATTCGTCTGGGTTGGTTGTTGAGAAGGGAGGTGTCTTAATCTTTCACTTGGACAAGGGTGTCTGGAGAGATAAGAGAAGCAGGCCAGAGACTTCCAGATAAGTGGTGTGGCCGACTAGCATCCGTTATCTACTAATGCTAGTTTTTCTGAGCACCTTAAAAGGAAGTGAGGTGCCCCACACAGTTTGAAAAGGCCATATTGTTTTTGTTTTGCAGCATTGTGCTGGCAATACCCATCCCAACCAACCAGAGACCCCAAGCTTCTATATTATCCTGTTTTTCAGTGATGTAATCTCATAATCAAAAATATCCTGGTGTTTCTTCTGGCTCACTGAAGAGAACAGATGCAGGCTGCTTAACTTCATTAGCTCTTTGCTGCCAGGTTTCTTTGTAATGTCTGTGTTTCTTAGGCAACTCTGGGTGGAGTAAGAAGAGGGCCCCTATCAACAAACGCATGTGGTTGGAAATGGGTGGTGGAGTGAACTCCTTGGAATTCAACCCAGAGTGTGAGTGTGTGTGAGGCAATGAGGCAACGAGGCACAGCCCCCTTGTTGAGGGGACATTGTGGAATGTAACCATGAGAAACACTGAAAGCTAGAAAAGTGACTCAGACTCTGCATCTACTGTATGAACTACTGCAGAAAGCAACCACAATCTTCACATTCATTGTTTTTGTATTTGTTTGATTATTATTATTATTATTGCCAATACAATTTAAAGCACTGCTATTGTTATTATTATTTACCAAGGCCATATATATTCAGATGTATTTGTATTATGATATTTGTCATCATGTTCTTGTAATAGTTGTCTTCAGAGGTGGGAAGTAACTAAGTACATGTAAGTACTGTAATTAAGTACACTTTTGAGATACTTGTACTTTACTTGAGTATTTCCATGTTTTGCTACATTGTACTTCTACTCCAAACAAACAGAGGTAAATCGTGTAATTTTGCTCTACCGCATTTATTTAGTTACTTTGCAGATTTGGATTAATGATGTGAAATATAATCAACCCTTAAATCAGACTTTAGTTACACCTGGAGTAAATTCACAAGCTACCATGCAGTATACAAAGTAATTAAAACTAACTTCTCCTTTACCAGCTTTGATAACACTTTAATGCATCAATAATTATAATCAGAACATATCATAAACAATTACTCTGAAATGGGCCAATCTGCATAATGATTACTCTTACTTTTGGATATTTAAGTATATTTTGATGCTAATACTTTTGTACTTTTACTTGAGTAATATTTTTGAATGCAGGACTTCTGAATACTTCTCCCACCTCTGGTTTTCTTTACAGAAGTGTACATCTCATCAAAAAGTAGGGTAAAATATAACAGGCTGTGGGCTTCCCCTGTTAAAGAACCCGAAGAGGGATTACCCCCAATTTTCCAGGACACACCCACAATGTTCCACTGTTTGGCTTTGCAAAACATTGGGAGACCTTTCCACTTCTTACAGGAGGTTGGACTACTGGGCTTCTCTTACCGGTGGTCATACTAGAAATGTGTGTTGTGTAATTTACGGCGTAGTTAAAGAACACACACAATAACAAAGAAACTCAGCAAAGTCGTTCAGATTATATCATTGAAATTGTTGACATGTCTTTCCGAAACCTCTGCCTGAAACCTGTCTGTGAATGTTGTCTATCCTGCCTCTGGAATACAAGCTACTATTTTAAAAGCGAAACTTCCTTTTTGCCTTTCAAAATAAGACAATTGTTAACGCTGTATAGATAGATGAATCGCTATTCAAACAACAAACAGGGCACACAAAGATGTAGATAAGAAGAAAAAACTATGAAAACATATATAAAAATAAAATAAAAACTAGTCACTGAATATTTAAGTGCAAATATACACATAGCTACTTATAATGGTATGAATGTTGTCACAATAGACACATCAATGTTATGATTGGTTAATGATATGTATCAAATATCTGTAATTCAAACTAAGGTAGGCTGATTTAAATTATCAATGTGTTTATTATTATGTATTTACCTAATGTTTCTTTGTGCTTTTATTGTGAAGGCCATTCTTTTCTAACTTCCTACAATTCTGCTAATTTGGTCAAAAATAGATAGTAATCCAGTGGTGCGTTCAGGGGAGGACCACAGTTAACTGGCAGCGGAGCGACTCGCTGCTCTGCATCGCCTCTCAGGGTTTTTTGGATCAACAAGAGACAGAACCTGGATCAGATCTTCAGTCAGCTTCTGCAGCCCAGCATGGAGGTTCTCCTGGACACCTGTGGACTGAGAACAGTCAAAGTTCTGCTGTTACTCCACCTCTTCTTCGCGAAGGCAACAGGTTAGTTTTACATCAATTTTGCAGTCTGGTTAATGAGATCATATTTATTAGTCACTTGTTCAAGCAAGATACGCCAGGCTAGATATTTGGTCAACTCTACATAAAACAGATAATTGCTTACTCTACTTTTCTTTTATTATTATGCCAATAATAATCATAGATTCCAATTTGAATATGTATAAATACTGTATACTGTATATCCTGCTACCCAGTAACATTAAATATGTCTGATATTCGTAAAAAAAAAAATAACAGTAGATAATAACAAATATAAAAAATTGTATTTTCTCCATGGATGTCAACACTGCCATTTAAGTGTTTTAATTAATGTTAATATATGATTTAGTATTTGAGTCAACATGTTTTGTTATGGAATGGGAAGGACATCATTTAGAAACTTCTGGAAAAAAACTGAATGTAATGATCTTCCTAAATATAAATAATATGGAGAGTATGTTCACCTAAAGTGGCCACTCAGTGAGTACAACTGTAACTTCAGCAATTATTTCTCTACTACTTTCTTTTCTCTGTAAAGTTTTCTGTCAGTTATATAGCGCATTCGCATTTTATACAGCAGGCAATGTGCTTCTAAATAGAAAATGGGAAAAAGGCAATGATCATACAAAATAAAGGAGCACTCCCCTGAATATCTTAGATATGTTCTGTGGTTTAGTTAAAGATAACACAACTCCATTAAGTATGAAGATGCTTAAACGAAAACGTATCAGTGACCCGTTTATAACGACATCCTTCACATAGGCTTTAATAGTTATTGAATTATTGTATCTTTTTCTATAATGTTTATACATCAGTCATAAATAATTTAGAAAAGCACTGTGAAATTGCACGGTTTTGGAGATACTCTTGGACGAAAAATCCATGAATTAACAGCTTAAGTATTGAGAGACTAAAGGACTCTTAGTTAATGACTAACTAACTTTAAACTGCTGACTTTATGACCTAATAAAAAGTGAGCAACTAAAATAATATTTACCATCATTTATAATTTACACATAGGGGATTTTCAATTTTTAATATAAATGACTATATGACAAGTCTGATATTAGCTTTATTTATTTACTTACATTTTTGGATAAAAGGCTTTCAGATCTACTGTTTTATTGTCTGGAACTGGATCATTATTATGCCAGATTTTAAAACAAAAATAAGTCGCTGTTCATGTTTAATTTCTGTCTCTTTTTTCCCCCTAGCCGACTGCCCCAAACCTCAGACAAGGGGAGATGTTGTCCTAACTGACAACGCACTTCTAATGAATACTTTTCCAAAGGGTGTTGATGTCACCATAGAATGTGCGAATGGATTTGTCAAAGACAGTGGCTCTGGGTTTATAACCTGCATTGATGATAATTGGACTGAACCAGATCTCACTTGCAAGAGTAAGTCAATTACAGAGACTCTTATCAAACCTTTAGTTAGTCCTTTTGAAGTGAATACCCTGACCTTAAAGTTCAGTATTAATGTTTGTTTTATATTACAGAGAAGGACTGTGGTCTCCCTCCTATTCGACCGAATATGAGCTTTAATACCAGCGCCGGTACCCTGTTTGGTGCTGTAATAAAAGTCATTTGCGACAAAGGGTGAGTATTAATGTGAAAGGTATTTTTCCCATGTAATTGCTATCTAGCTGAGTTATACATTTATTTAAAGGTAGAGAAACACGTGTCGGCAACACAGTGACAACACAAAGGATGCCATCAGTAGATGATCATTTCCCCACGAAGTATGTGTTTTTGCTGTACAGTTGCCGTACAGAAAGTGCTGCTGGTAATTAGCCTTAGATGACTGAAGTCAAGGTGGATTCGCTAATGGAAACAGTCTCTAAAGATAACCAGAAAGTCTTCAAAGACAAATAAAGCTGTTGCCAGAAGTGCTACGTTGTGGTTTTGCTGATTAGAAACTTGGCTCTCCCTATTTGTGTACGTTGAGATATTGGTTCATTTTTAGTTCTTGACTGAACTCTGTAAGAATTTGCTATCAAAGTTGAAATTGCCCTTCTGTTGCAATACAAAATGATAACTCTACATTATCAAATCCTCCTTAAATAAACCGCCCCTGCTTTATTTTCAACAGCTTCCAAGTCAGTGGATCTAGCTTCAAACAGTGCTATGCTTTAGGTTGGGTTGGAAAGGCCAAGTGTGAAAGTAAGTCCCTCTGTTTTTGTATTTTATGAAGCTGCATCCAGAAACATAAACTATTGTTTGGTTCTTCCCACAACAAAAAACAAAAGACAGCAGTGGGTTGTTTTTTTATGAAGTTCTTCTTCCTCTGTTTACTGACTTCTTTGTTCTTTTTCTCAATTCTCATTGTTTGTCAGCATATACAACAGTTTAAACACAACAATATGCATTATTTGAATTTACTCTTGATTTTTATAATAAGAATGTGTGAAAAACATTTGTTTGTCTTGTTCCTCAGTTGTAACATGCGAAATACCTGAGAAATTGACCAAGGGCAAAAGCTCATGGGATTCTCAAGATGAACCAATGTATGGAGAAATCATACAGTACGTGTGTGAAGACGGATACACCCTGATTGGGAAAAAGAACACTAAGTGCAGCGAAACTGGTGAATACGATTCTCCACCGCCGACTTGTGAAGGTAAGGACAATCCATTCATGTGGATGTGGACCACACAGGTGGTTTTGCATGTATTAACCCATTGTTTAAACAAATCTATTTACATTAGGTCCCCCCATTTTCAAACCATACAATATATTTGTAGATAGATTTCCAGTCTTTATATGGCGTAATGAATGAATTTAGACATTTCTGCTGTTAAAACATTGATGCTTTCCTACTCAAAGTCTTGCATGAAAGAGTGTAATGGCCATCTGTACAATGACAACGTTTTATTCATTTTCGTACAACAGAATAGTACAATTATTTTAAAGGGGCCTTATTACGGTCATTTCATCTCAGGTTTCCTATTTGGAGCACTATAGCCATTACAAGCACAAGTGTTACATAGTGATGTCACTATGTTGGATAGAAAACAAAGGAGTCCAATGGAGGCGTTTAAGGCAGGGTGTGTGTGAGAGAAACTCCCTCTAGAGGGAACTTTGGGATTTAAGCCTTTGCAGACATTTATATGTACTTAAACCTATATAACACACTACAGGAAAGGTGGAACCCCAAAATATGGCGCTTTTAAGGGGAGACACTAAGGTAAAAAATAATAAAGTGAAGTTTCATATTTCATATCTATGAGTTGAAATATGTACCCAGTTCACGAGTAGTACATCCCCTTAATGAAATTCTGCCTGCAATGTAATATTCCTCAGAAAAACCACTGGCATGCTTTGACATTGTCTTGTATCGTGATCAGTGGTAAATCTTGCTCTACCGCAGGCATGGTCAAAACATTCCAATCTTTAATGAACATGAACAGAGTGTTTATCTGTAATATACTGTATTCAATTAAATGCAGTGCACATGCTGTAGGTGTTGCCATGGTGTCACTGACGACACTCTGTATTGAACACTTTCAAGTTCACACATCATCACTTCAACTCCTCTCCAGACACTCTGATCCCAGCGCTTCGATGAAGCAGTACTCGAGCTTCACAACATCTCTCTATTCACCATTCATGGCTGTGCTCACTCACAGTTGCTTTAATACTAACTGTCACACTCATACTCTCCTTAACAACTTAACAAGGTATTGACTAAAGAGCAACCTTTTGATGTAGGAGGATCAGGGGAAGATTTTTCACATTCTGCATGTCAACTGAAATGCTCCTCGACCAAACTTCTGATTAATTGTATTTTATTAAAACCCAAGAGAAATTCATAGGAGTGACGGCCAAAGCTATAACTACAACAGAAATGGTAACACCAACACCTAAACCTGCAGCACAAGGTATAGAAATAATATCGCCTCCATACAAGAAATCCAGTTTCACAATATGTTATCATTTGTTAAGACATTTTGACTTATTATTTTCCACTTCTACAGATTCCTCTGCCACACCCACAGCTCTTAGAGATAAAACTGTCAGAACCAGCACAACAGCAGCTGTAGGAGGTAAATAAATATGTCTCCCAACAAACTGATGGCCTTGTAATTAAGTTCAAAACCTTTTAGGCACAGCACTTGGCAGCATGATTGGATTATGTGCATGTCGCATGCATCTCAGAAATTGCTTCTCAGCTTCACAAATCACATGTATTCTGTCCAAGCTTTAGAAGAACTAAGAATTGCTGTGATCTCTCTGTTCAAAGGTGGCAGAGAAAATGTGACAGCTGAAGGTAAAGCTACAACCACTGTAACATCAATGACGTCGTCTTCATTTCAAGGTATTGAACCATTTTTTAAAAAGCTGTCAAGTTGTAGCTTGGGCTTTTACTGTGTCTCCCAGCAGCAGATGCTTCCGGAGCCCTCCTTGTAGCCTTATAAACTGCGCGTCTTGTTAGTTTGTTTATCATCACGGTAGTATGGTAGCCCACAGGGCAAACGCGCTACAGCGGCCAAAAACACTTCCATTAAGAGAAACTGGCTGCAGCTTCAGAAATGATGCAAATGTTAAGACACAAATGTGACAAAACCCGCAAATAAAGAAACATCTTCACCAACTTGACAACAGATGCGCAGGATTTAGAAAAACATTCATCAACTTGACGAAACATGTGCAAAGTTTACTAATTGCACGCCATAAACGAAACACAGCAAATACAAAAATGCTGCAAGTAAAAAAAAAAAAGCTCAGGGATACTAAAGTGATTAGATGATTATAAAGTGAACCAGCTGTTAGTGTAGCTCGTATATGTTGAATGACTAGGTTAGCTAGGTTACCTAGCTAGCTTACAAAATATTTGAAATAATATCAGAAGGAATCCTGCGATCACATTGTTAAGATAATCCAATAAAACTAACTATTTAGGTACATATCCAGTGACCGTGATAGTTATTGTACATCGTTTTTGAAGCTGCAGTGCGTTTCTCCTGATGGACGTGTTTTGGGCCGTTGGAATTTGTTTGCACCTGTCGGCCACCGTACTGTGGGATTTAAACAAAGGAATGCTGCAAATATTGTTTAAGCTGAAATTGTTTAGATGAGTCATAAAATAAAAGCAGTTGAATTTGTGTCAGCATAACACAAAATAAAATGACTTCTGTGCTGCTCTCATACACAAAAAGTTCTCCCTGACTATTAAGTTACTTTCCTGAAAAACTTGAAATAACAAGTTAAATTCAAGGGAATAAATAAAGACTCAGAAGAACCTAAGTGTAAACACAACAACAATGTGATATTTAATTGGGGGGTAATGGAACATTACTATTTATTGGGTCTTGGGCAGTTGCCTGGCAACAAGCGAAGACTGCTCACAGCGGACATAATATATATAATCCAGCAGTTAATCCCTTGTACAATGTGTTTTTAAACTTTGCACATATTCAACTAATGAGATAATAAGTGCATTTCTGATGTATGGGGGAATTCTAATGCTAGCTGTTTACCCATGTTTCCCGTCTTTATGCTAAACTAAGCTAACCATCTGTTGGATATAGCCTCATATTCAACAGCGAACAATAGTGGTATTAATCTTCTCAATTAAATCTCCAGCAGAAAGCAATTAGGCTATTTCTCAATTTAATTCATGGTTCTGAGTTCGCCTTCTAATTATTATTGTTTGCAAGGCGGATAATACAAAATGTAATTTACTAACTGACGATAACTGTCATCTAATATTCAGACATGTATCCCTCCCTCAGTCCCTGTGTCAGCTATTATATTAATGTGTTGGTCTTTCTCTGCCTTAATAATCCAACATGGAGACACTGAGAGGAATGAGCTGGCAGCAACACAACAGACCTTTTTGTGTGTATAGTGTTTCTGATGCAGCCTGAGTGAGTGCTGTTGTTCATGCCAGTTAAAATAGTTTACATACTAATAAAACTGTTGTAAACTTGCAGATAAGCCTGGTGAGGCTGTAGATACTAACCAGGACGTCGGTGAGTTGTTGAGCCTCGTTACAATCAAGATGTTTGAACTTTATGTATGCTTTGCATTTAACTTTGCATTTGTTTTTCAGGACACATGCCTGTTATAATCAGTGTGATATTCGTTTCATTAGGTAATGTAAATATTTTGTCCTCGGGAGAACATTTACCTACATTTTTCAGTTGAAATACAAAGCATATTCTAATGTTTTCTTTCTTTACAGCTGTGTGTATAATGGCGCTCTTTTTACACAAGTTTCTTCTGAAGAGAAAAGGGTGAGATCCACTGCTTTACTCATAATGCATGACTCCTACTTGATTATGCTTTTTATTCTTTTCACTTTCTGCTCCTTTTAACTTTAAATATACTTGTTGTACTCTCAGAACATAATGTACAGGTCAATGTTAGCAAATATGTCTGCAAACAGTTACAGCATGCAGTGAAGTAATATGCAGTAACTTGTGAGAAGGTAACTCAGGTTCAGATTCTTCACAGTTTTTGAGTTTTTTAACTGTTTGAGGAAATCTAGAGGTCTGTGTTTCCTGACCTCTGCTGAGGAATGAGGGAAGTCAACAGGAAATCCTTTAATAAAACCGGCTGTGATATAGACACAGCATCAGGAAGTAAATTCCCTTCAGGCCGGATTTATGAATCACAATGTCTTTAATAATCAAATTCAATAAAAAGAACAGTTTGTGACTCTGTGACAAAGTTGTTAGGAATGCATGTAGCCTGATTTGACAAACAAAAACATACAGAGATGAAGGCACTGAAAGATTCGTAACATCTTATGAATTCAATTCAAATCAAGATAAAGTGAATACCTGATTACAGCCAGATTAACATTCCTTAAACATGACCAATTCATATAAGCACATGCATGCTTAACAGCCAAGGTTAAAGCTTATTTGACAAATAAATCATTGTTCTCTCAAAGTTGCAACGACTAACACTAACATTTCAGAATACTAAGTTAATACCTAATAAAACACCCTTTGGTGAACTACTAAAATCTTAACATAAAAATGACAAAATCCAACAATTCTGACATAAATTCCTTATGACACCATAGCTCATATGACACCAGAGAAGACCTGAAGCCGGAGTTATTACAGTTCCAAAGTCTTTAGATTGCCAGCCTGACAAAGGTACATGTCCTGTCTCCCTGTGTGTTAACTGTTATAAGAGCAATTGCAAACCAAAATACCTCTTAAAACATATTTAAATGTTAAAAATATTGTTCTTAAATTTGGGCATATGAAGAAAAATCAAGCCTGAATGTCGTGTTCTTTTCATTTTCTGCACCACTATGAATGTAGCTCAAACTAAACAATGTTCTGCTTATTTTTTGTCAGCTCTGCAAATGGAACCGCGCCTATCTACTAAAGAGCATCTGTTACCCAGGAGGGACGTGCCAACAGTAGTAGTGCCTCTCAGAGGCGATGGGGAAAAAAGATAACTCACGTTATTGTTATTGCACTTCAAATGGCAGATACTCAAATCTGTAAAAGTATCATCATTTAAAGCCAAATCCACTGAAAAGCACTTTTTTTAATGATTTTTGTATTGCCGCTTTATTTTAACAGTTGTAAATACTTCATGCCACTATAGAATTGCTATTTTATATGTTATTTATGTGACTGGAATAAAATCCTTAACATTGCTTCCATGTCTAATGAAGTCTTGGGAATGTATTTTTCCTGTGTGTGTGTGTGTGTGTGTGGGTGTGTGTGTGTGTGTGTGTGTGTGTGTGTGTGTGTGTGTGTGTGTGTGTGTGTGTGTGTGTGTGTGTGTGTGTGTGTGTGTGTGTGTGTGTGTGTGTGTGTGTGTGTGTGTGTGTGTGTGTGTGTGTGTGTGTGTGTGTGTGTGTGTGTTTGCAGTGTATGCAAATCTTAATTCATTCATTTATGTGCTTTTTTGTTAGGACAGACTCATGAAAAGTTGATTCAAGAGGCTTACAATGTGGTTTCTTCAGATTGCAGACTGAAACGGCGACTGTTAAAGATACAATCAGCTGCATTCTTCGCCCTCTGACTTTCTCTTTGACATTGTCTATTGTTCTGGGGCTCTTTTTGTAAGCTTCATGTGCAAACATAATCAGAAACCTTCTTTCTTGAGAGAATAATCCTACAGAGTAACTCCCATCAATGAATGCTGTTTCACTAACTACCGTATTAAGTGTGACGGGGAAATTCTCAGGAAAGTGATGAAAATATGTCTGACCTTGAGCGTGTGAAAGGGCTCATTGTGCCAAAGGAGCAGAAGCCTTCAAGAGCTTGTCAACCTTTTATATTTGACAAGGCTGGGATTGTAACGCAGCAATTGATGATACAACTTTTTTTTAGAGATTTCTATTTTCAAAATCCCTTGTACACTTATCAAATGGCAAATATGTCTTGAATCTGTTACTTAGATCTTATAGAAGATTTTACAAAGAAAATGTCAAATTGGAAGTCATTTTTGCATTGCAAGGCACAATATAAAAAAATACAAGTTTAGAAAAACGGGAAAGCTTAAAGGTGGGGTAGGTCATTTTGGAGAAACCAGCTCGAGTGCGCTAGAATTTGAAAATACACAACCGGAAACAATCTGCCACTTCCTTACAGAGCCCCTCCTCCAACACACACGAACGCGCACATGACCAATGAGGGCACGTGATAAGTTTGTGCACAGATGGAAGGCTGACAGGCAGGTAGGCCATCCAGTTACTTTAGCCGGGCCGGCTCAAATGATTGGTCGTGCTTTTTACAGTACCACGGCTTCCACAGATGACATTTTTTAATGGATTTTTTATCAAAGCATTTAAGATATTCATTGCTATCGGGATGTTAAGAGCATTCCATGGAATATAACAAAAAGTGTATCTCGAGCCGGTTTCTCAAACGTACATACCCCACCTTTAATTATATCTCTATCTTTAATGTTTTTTGTATCGAAGGATAGTCATTTAGTGTTGAGAACATGACCTTCCTTCTATTTTTATTTTTGTATCTTCGCAACTAAGCCTCCCACCATAACCCATCCCCTCCTGCTCATACATTGAAGACCTATAGAGTTACAACTTCAACAACACATTAAAACATTAATATATAATAATAATAATATAACAGTACATTTTAAGTATTACAATTTGTTATCTAATTATTAACAATAAGTGTCCAATCCATATGAATAATATTCCTGTATTCAGGTGTGAGTGTTTGGAGGTTCATTATATCACTCATATAAAGCCAGAAGGAGTAAAGTGGAAAAGCTATTTAAAAAAAACATTCCCAAGCATGTTAGAGCATTGCTCACCTCTACTATTATGTTTACAAATTAGCATTGTTTGTGCCTTAGGGGAGAATCTCAGGGGTTGCATTCACAGTTAACAGCAGTAAAGGACCAGGCTATTATCCTGGCAGGGGGGGGTGTAGTACAGAGAAAAATCCCCATTATGAAATGTGGTTACACTGCCTCATTGTACCCTGGTCTGTTGAAGTGCCAGAGCTTTGAAGTGGGCCTTTTCGGGATCAAAAGAGAGGTTTTCTTGTATCTACTTCAAAAGAACTACATTATTTAAGCCCTGTTTCACAATGTGCTTCAGTGTATATGATTGAGCTTTAGCTTGTGAAATCCTCTGGAAAAAAGAAGAGCGGGATCATAAACAGGACATGGCCTCCTCTTGGTAGTTATTCATCTTCGTTGGGTGGACAGACAGTGTATTATCAGACAGGAAGGGTTTGTAGTGTTTCTCAGAGAAACCCCGACAACAGTGGTGGTCTTTGTGGAAGTCATGAACTATCCTCCAAACCCAGTCCCCAAACAAAGGGGGAAACAAAGGATTATGATGTTACTGACTGTTTGTATGTTCTCTGGATCGGTCTTCTGATTTAAGAGATAAGTCTGTGGATATTCTACAATTTATATTTTCAACAAATCCCATGGGGGGACGAAAACCGACAGTGAACAGAACCAAGTATTTCTATGTATTTTCTGTGAAACCATTTTTGCCTGAAACTATTAAAAAAACACAGTTAACCACGGTATTGCATTGGATGACATGTTTCTTCATCAATATAACCACGGACAATCTAGGTATTTTTTTCTTGCTTCAGTAAACACTCCAAAATGTGACACATCCACAACTGAAATAGTTCCCCACAAAAAAAACACGATTTACTCCAGTTTAACAAACATTTGCTTCAAACCACAGTGCCCAGCTGTTTTATGAACTTTTTGCAATGAAATGGCTTGAGGTTGAAAACAACAGACAGGCTTGTTGCAGCAATGCTTTGACTATCTGAGGCTTTGTTTTCACAAGCCAGTCGTGGTTTGCACTAAATACTAACTGATCTTAGTTTAGCCTGTTACCATGCTAATAATTGACTGATAAGCACTACGCTAATGCTGATTGAAAAGCAATTTGTTTTTGCAGTATTTGTTCAAAAACTAAAATATGAGACAAATAAAAAATGTATCCCATGATGGCGCCAGGTAAAAAGTTAATTTCATAGTATTTCAATGATAGTTGAGGCATTTTCTGTTACGGTGAGTGAAGCAAGCAGGACCCAAATGCAGATAATGCTGAAAAAAGCCTTTATTTCAAGAATAAAATAAAAATAACTTGGACAAAACAGAACTCACACCGGTGAACGTATTCACAAACAAAAGACGAACCAACACTGAACACAGGACGAGACAAGACTAAATACAGGGAGGGGTAATCACGAGATGAGAAACAGCCGGGCAGGGGAGGAGAAACACAAGGGCAACAGGTGAACACAATCAGACAATTAGACACATCAGGGAAACTAACGACAGGGGAGAAGAAGAAGACAAGAAGAAGGACCAGACAATATACAAGGAGGACAATACCCATAACCAGACATACAAAACTATAAATGTGAAATAACATGGAAATCCTGACATTTTCACATAAACTCAAAGATGCCAGCCTTACATTCAGGAGGTCCACAAAGTCAGAATTGATATCAATCACAATTTATCAATATGTGTTTATAAGAATATACATCAGTCTAGAGTCTAGACCAAAGTGGTGGCCCACCAGACCATCATTGCCATATAAGAAGAAGACCCTTTATTTATCTTTATATAAGGGACAATTAACAAAAACTGTGTATCTGTTATTATACACAGTACAATACATTAGGTCTGAATACATACATATACTGTACGTACAAAAACATGCATTTCTGTTATGGAGAGGTGTCAGTTAGTTTTTCCAAAGCAGTTAGAAGTGTTGGTGCCTTGCTCAAGGACAACTCAGCAGTGTAAGGATGTGAACTGGCACCTCTCCAGCTACAAGTCCACACACCGTGTTTTTGGTCCGAGCAGAACGTGAACCGGCACCCTTCGGTTCCCAAGCAAACTCCCTATAGAGACTGAGCTACTGCAACCCCACACATAGAGCCAGGGATGTGTCACTGCTAAAGATTAACAATACTAATAGCTCTATCCTTTAAACACAGATGGGTTAGTGATACACATGGCGTAACTGTTTACGAATCAAACATGTGACATTTCTCCAAGTGCTTCACCCTATCACAAGGGAGTTTCCCTTCCATTACACACACAGGCTCTGCCCAGTGATCCAGGTTTGCAACTATAGTGATGTTGTACAAGTAAACAACAATGTGTGTTTAATCCAGTTAGTGCATGGTTCTTAGTATCATGCAAAAACCTGCTTTACTGGTCCTCTTCTGTAGCTTCAGCAGTCCTTTGTTAGATGAGAACTCTACCACAGGATGTGAAGAGACAAGACCTGAGTGACATCAGGCAACAAAGTCTGCACATGCACAGTGCCACACCCATCTTGGCACATAAAGTACCTTATCAGAAAAACTTGAAAAACATCTCCCAAATGAATTTTAAAATGTATTCAACTGTCTTTGAAAGGGGTTTCATAACATTTTCTTTTATGTAATCTTTCTATTCAGAACTTGAATAGAACTTTTGAAAATCCCTTTCAATGGAGTGATGAGGCTTTCAAATGTAAACAGCAATATGTCACTTCTGTGCTTTAATTGGGTTTCCATGAGTCCCTATCCTGTTTGTGATGGACAGGATGATCTCTGCCCATCCTCTTTGTGGGGATCATATTACAGAAGTTCCCTTTTGTACTTATAAATATAAAATAATACAGTATAAAATGATATGACACTGTTCAAAGATGATGAGGGCATAAGCGTTTAACTGAGCTTAATCTTAACCATAACACTTGTGTGCTGTACAGTAAAATAGTAATTAAGCGCACCATTGTAAAAGCTTATCAGGCTAGAATATATTTGCATACATTTAGCAACAGTTTTGGCTCCTATTTTGAATCATTTATAACCCAGTTTATTTTAGCATGTTTACACAGAGATACACATCTTTTTGCTAGTTGTTCAAACATCTGTACAAAATTGTAAGTCTTTCCATTGAGGATTTGACTCTTAAACACACGTAAATATTCCAAGAGAAGGAATACTTTTCGGAGCATGAAAATAATGTATGCTGAGCTAAGCTGGGATGTATTACCTTGTGAGGATATGAAGACCAGATGAGACTGGAGGGGAGTTGGAAGCTTATTATGAAAAAATGCAGAACTCAGGCCAAACTCCTAAAACATATTTTAAGCTAGACCAAAAAAGAAAAATAAACGTATATTGTGAGTATATA